AAATTAAGACCATCTCATATTTTAAATAATCCAGTTTCTTTGCAATGTACGTCTCATTCATATTTCGGTGACATTGCAGTGCAAAGTGTTAAACGATAACTTTTGTCGCCCGCGGGAACCGCGCCACGTGATCGACTATCCCCGTGGATCAATAGCCGATGCTTAATGACCCTAATGACGGGTCTATCGGCATACACGCTTAACCATGGAAAGCATCGTTTCTCTCTCGATGGATGGCGGCGAAGTGAAACGAATTGCGGGGCATCACTCTGGCATTCATAGCGTGAGACTGATAGGCTTACTTTGCATATATTTCCGCGAGCTAGAGTTTTGTAAATTTGCAAATACACGCCGTCAGTTCCCGAGGTACCTACCACTCGGCTTTTCTAGGTTACAGGACGATCAATCTTGCTTGTATTTTTGCTCGTTTAGTAGCGGCATCGCGCGACGTAGACTCTCTCTGGTAACGGCAGCTTGAAACGATATTATTTGCACGGCGTCGGGTTAATGACAAGCGCAAAACAAGGACGATGTGATACAATTACTTAACGAAGTTAGATAGTTATTTGCTCGATCGTTGAGAGTCGATTAAGGTAAAAACGAATTTCGATGCAGGAAAGATTTATAGAAGCGTTTCGATTCTCGAGAAAAAAGAAACTGATTCTGATTGCATAACCTTAAGCTTCTTTCGTTCGAGTCTATGAGAAGATGAACGCTATATTGCCTGCCTGAAATCATTTTTCTTTCAACATCTGTGGGCTCAGCGGTGATATTTGATGCCGTTGGATCGTCCAGGAAGTAAAATCCTCCTTATCCAATGAATGGTCCGGCGCTACAGCTGTCTTCCTACTGCGTCCATAATAAAGACCATGTGGCGCTGAGTTCCGGATGAATACTTATCGCGTAGGGAATCACAGGGACATTAGGAAGTTCTAGAGAAGCACTATTGAGACTCGAGTCCTGCTAACCTTTGATCCTTGAAGTTAGGATTAGTTCTGGATTAGGACGTGAACTTAGAAAATTGCAACAGACCATTAAGATTTCTTTTAGGTCTAATTCCCCTCTGAAATGATTGTTAATGCTCTGTGACAATTCTCTAGGTCTAGATCTGTGTTAGGACTTGACCCTAGAAAATTGTAATAGAGCATTAACATTTATTTCTGATCCAATGGAACCCTGAAGTTAATGTTAATTCTCTGTTACAATTCTCTAAGGTGTCTTCATCGTATCTACTCTAGTCCAGTTGATTTTTTCGACTCCAAACCGTATTGCACCGAATGAACCACATTTCGAAGCTCCTCTAGATCACTATCACGCATTGCGCCACCTACCACAATATATATTAGGCTTAATCCTATCACGTCGTTATCGCACTTAGCCTCATTCAATGGTTCTAAATGTCTTCCGTGCTCCGATTTACGAGGCGTTTGCGTTCGCAGTGCGTGTCCGTTCATCGAGCAGGTCTTTAATCGGCGGTGACTTCGGTCAGTGATTGAAATTGAGTTGTAAAAATCTTTATAGTCACGGACCCCCTACTATTATTAAGCGACTTGACGTTCTCGTTCATTCGTGAAAGACGGTTGGCGAAAAATATCGGGGTCGAGGGTCGTCGGATGCGACACGTGCTCGCACACACACAGACACGTCGTCGGCCAGGATTTTCTTCGATTTCCACCCCTAGCCAGCTGCAGTTGTCGATGAAATTTTTTCGACTCGCCGCGAAATTACGCGTCAGCTTTCGAAGATAGTTTCCTGAACGCGCGCCTCGCCGTGAAATTGGCGCGTGATCGGTGGCGAATGGTTGCGTTTATAGATCGACGAACACCGTTAAATGGAATGTCCTGACGTTACGGTCCAGCGGAAAGTTTCCGTGCTGGCACTTTTCGAACCTGTTTCTGCTTCAGCGATTATTCTCGGTGAAACTGGCCAATAAAAATTTTTATTCTATACACTCGAATCGAAAAATGTTGCCTCTGTAAACGACGTATAGTGTTTTAAAATTAATATAATAGAAAAAGGGTACATTGAATGTCTGAGAAATAACTGTTTCGTTTAGCTGACTAAATTTCTAGCGACACTGTACGTCGTCGGACACAAGATTGTACGTGTCCTGTAAACATAAGTCTGAAGCTCTCTTTCCCAGGCGAGCTTCGGGCATGGCAGAAGTATGCTTTCGCCATTAGACAGCTTACAAAAGAGTCCTTCCCCCGAAGAAATCGTCGAGTACACTTGAGTGACATTCTTTTCCTCTGCGACACTAGGCGAGGCTCAGAGGATTTAATACAGTCCCTTTTTGCACTTTGTTTCACGGAGCGTTTCCAAGTCAAGGCATATATATTCCAGTACTTTTTCCTGTATCAAGGGTTCTGACAGATAGAATTATCAGTCCAGCCGAGCAATCGTGTATATTAAAGTCTGAGTAGAGAGCAGACTACTCCTCGGTGACTTGAGGTGTGAAAGAGGCAACGTTAAATAGAATGGATGGGGGATGAGCTATCTCACACCGTAATTTCAGTTAATCCTTACTTAATGCAGTAAATCCTTCCAGAGTTTTGCTCGAAGCTGGAGTTCATCGTCACATCAGACCGTCGATATGACGGATCTGAGCTTTGCCAAAGTACTCATCAGGGTCCTTAACCCTTTGCCCTACCATTTGTTTGACGACTACACTCTCAAGAATTACTTTATCGTTAATAATTTCCCAGGTACAAAAAGAATTCTATTCTTATGACAAGTGTAACGTTTACTGTAACTCTTAAATGTTAATACCAGTGTAACAGTATTTCACTTTGACTTAAAAAAAACGAATTATATAAATGTTCATTAAATGCAGTTTGATATCGTCATCACGTGTTTGATTCGATAGGTAGATTTGTGAATTTTTTCTGGGATTGCAATGACGTGAACAAGAAATCACTTGAAATAGTGATCACAATTTTGAACCCACAATTATATTCACCTCCATACATTACATCATTATACTTTAAATGTTCCAGTTTCTGGTTCGTTATAATTTTACTGTGATCACTAACCGTGAATAAAATGCAGCCAGCGCGGCAAAACAACGCTCTAACAATTCTTTCTCGCTTACAATATACAACGGTCCACCAAAACGGTCACACATTACCACCCTGTAATTACGCGAAGATACCGGGTAACTCGTTACGCTCTCGACAATGGTGAAAGAGTG